TTTTGGCCACAGTATCACACTGGGAACTCATGTCCAGTTGATTACCCACCATAACCCCCAAATCTTTTTCAAAGCCACTGCTTCTCAGGATATTATGTAAGTATGACCTACATACTTTGTTACTAGGTGTATAATTTACATTTATCCATAATAAAAAGCACATTGCTTGTTTGCTTCCAGCTTATCAAGTGATCTGCATCACTCTATACCAGTGACCTGTCCTCTTAATTATTTACTACTCCACCAATTTTTGTGTCATCTGCAAACTTCATTGGTGATGATTTTATATATTCTCCCATGCTATTGATAAAAAATGTTAAATAGTGTTGGACCAAGAACCAGTCCCTGTGGGATCCCATCAAAAATTCACACATTAAATTATGATTTACTATTTATAATTACATTTTGAGATCTATCAGTTAGCCAGTTTTTAATCCTTATAATGACTGCTATGTTAATTTTAAGTATGCAGTGTTGTTGTAGCTGGGTCAGTCCCAGGATATTAGAGAGGCAAGTTGGGTAAAGTAATATGTTAATTGTAATTTTATATCATTCTAGTTTTTAAAATTATTGTGCAGTACCAAACCAAATGCCTTACAGAAGCCTATTACATCAAGACTACTACCTTAATCCATCAAACTAGATACCTTTTTTAGATGAGATTACAAGTTAGATAGACTAGTTCTATATAACATAAACTCATCTATTTATTCATCTTCATGCATAGTTTCACAAGCATTTTTCTGAGAAATGTTGTGTGATACCTCCTTAACATGGGGTTGGAGCTCTGTGGCAACTTGTCCTATCTCCTGGACCTGACAAAGCCCTCTTCATACAGTCTGAGTCCAGAGGGAGGCTGGGGATGGTCTTCCTCATGGGCAGCAGGTATAATAGGCAAGGGAAGGCAGTATCTCCCCTAGCACAGCCGTCCTGCTGCCCGACACCTGGCCATGGTGTCCCCCTCCACACCCCTCCCTGCTCTGATGCTTCCCAGAGGCTCCCACGGCCTGCTGATGCTGCCTGATATGAGTCTCCTCCTTTCCTCTCCTCTCCTCCATTCCACCCTCCTCTCCGTTTGGAAGTCCCTGCAGCTGCAGGCGCTTCCCCCCTCCTCACCCTCCATCCCCTCAGGGCACGGTGTGTGTGTGTGTGTGTGTGTGTGTGTGTGTGTGAGGATGCAAGCGGCAGGGGGGAGAGTGAAGAAGCGAGGGGAGGGGATCTCTGAGTAACTTTACACAGTGAAAAAGCCTTCCAGACCAGAGACTTAGGGCTTGTCTACTCTTACATTTTATAGCGCTCTAACTTGCGGGCTCAGGGGGGTGAAAAATCACCCCCCTGAGCGCAGCCAGTCTGAGCACTTTACAGCACTAGTGTAGACAAGCGCTGAACGTTGGGAGCCATGCTCTCAGCGCTTGGAGATTATTCCCTCCTGGAGGTGGATTACCAGGAGCGCTGGGAGAGCTCTCCACGTGCGACCACACTCACACTTCAAAGCGCTGGCACGGGAGCGTTACCTTGGCAGCGCTTTGAAGTTTCCAGTGTAGACATAACCCTTGTAGCAGAGATCACTGAATTTGTTAAAGGGCAATTAACGTGGTAATGAAGACATTTAACAGGCATTTACCAATGCCCAGGAAGCCTTTGGCCACATTCAGCTGGCTTTTATATTGAATGAAAATGTGTTACTGGGGTTAAAAACAGTTTCCAAATGACCTGTCAGTTATTCTCTGTACCAAGCAGAAGTATTTTTGACTAAGCTCGCTCAAGAAGGAGCTGACATAGCCAGTGAGTTTATTTCTTAATCTAGTCAGTTTTTTCAAACCTAGTTTAAGTAAATGAGTCTGGCAGGGAATTCTGTGTAAGAAAAGTTATTAAACTACTGCCTTAATGCAGGATGTCAATGGCAAACACTTTTTAAAAGGAGAGATTAAGCTTCTGTTTGGCGCAGGTAGCCTGGCTTTTCGTCTCTCTCTATACAGCATACACTGAACTCCCTGCCATGCAGAGGAGAATCCATCTGGCAATTGATCTATAACTGTTTAGTTCTCTTGGGGAATGTTATAAGTCAGGGATCGGCAACCTTTGGCACATGGCTCGCCAGGGTAAGCACCCTGGCGGGCCCGGCCCGGTTTCC